CTTATTCAGGGACAGAGATGCTTGACTAATTCTGTGTGTGGACAGTCTTGTTCTGAAACAGGAAATCATATAATCCTGTCATTTCTTACACATTCACCCAGTCAGGGAACAAAAATTGAGTTTTGTGAGCTGGCCAGTTAGAAACAAACAATGCACCTTCAATTTGACTCTTTGTAACTAACAGTCAATTTGATTCTTTGATTTAGTCTGAGCAATGTCTGGTATGAAACATTTGATAATGTGTGTTTTACAGCAAATAGAGTGGTGTACAGAATAGACTTGCATCTGGCTAGGGATAGATCAGTCCATGTTGCAGTATAGTTGGTTCTTATAGAATGAAATCATAACTGAACGTTGAGTCTTAAGAGTACACAAACTGGACCATATTTAAATTTCCATCAAAAAGAATCCTTGTGTCCACTGTGTTTCATCAATGGGGAGCAGTAAGGTGGTTCTGGGGTTGGGACCAAAAGATAAGTTGGGAAACAGATAAAAGTAGTGGCTATTGGGTGTGTCTACACATGCAATTAATTTGAAGCAATAAACTCTGGCACTTATTGCTCTAGAGTTTATTGCTCCCAGGTGCACTGTTTTAATGTGCACCTGGGACTGCATCAGGTTGAGCCAGGTTGGAGCATCCCCAGCAGGCAAAGGGTCCAAGAGGGTCAGCCTCTCAGCCTGGGGGTGCTCCAATCCAGCTCAACATGCTGCAGAAGGGCTAGGGCATGAGTGTTCCCCAGTGAGGGGCTAGCTGCAAGGCAGCCACTGCAGTGAAGCACCCTTGTGCCCCAGGCAGCCGAGTTAGTGTCTACATATGCGGTGCTGAGGAGTAAAATACTCCACAGCAGGATAATACTTGTAGTTACAAGCATTGTCCTGCTGCAGAGTTGATCCGTTTACTCTAGCTTAATAAGGGTACATGTGTAGATGCCCAGACATTTACTGCAGAACCATTTAGTCTACTTATCAGTAAACATCTGCGTACATGCACCCATTAAGTTGTAAACTGTTACTGAAAAAGCAGTTGGGTTTCTGGATGGCAGGAGGTCATAAGTATGCCTCTGTAGTGCAATAAACCTGTAATAAAATTAAATAAGGAGTTAGAGAAATTGGAGAAATCATAAATATAATTTAAACCAGTCAGAAGAAGATTTTTCTAAACTTTCTCCTGCTATGTTATTTGTAAGACCTGTCTTTTATTGGGAAAAAACATTGGATAGAATCTCACAAAATTATGTTTTTCTTAATTTTGAAATGAGATATAGTCTTATTCATATAGCCACATCAGCACAATAGGATGTTGGATGCATCTAGTTGTTGAATGTTGTTGATTTGGTGCCATATAGCAAACATTTGCAATATGTTTGTGAAAAATCTTTCTGTGGAATGTCATAAGTACATCTGTCTCTCATGGTAGTAGACCCATCTTGTTTGCTTGTCTGTCTCACACTGGGAAGTGGAAGGAAACGTCAGATTTGCCTTTAAATACAGAAACTACTCTGAAGAATTTCCCTCATTTTCCTCAGCTCTGATAACTGTCATGTATTTGAACTATATACGTCATAAATGTTCATTCACAGAAAGGAATAAGGCAGTTATGTTGAGAATCAACAGTGAGAAAAGAACTTGAGTGATGGTGCATATACAGCACGTTCCTTCAACTAATGTCAGATCAGGTGAATTATTATTTTTTAATCAAAGGTGGTACTCCTGCTGGGACAGCTCTTAATGTCTGATCTTTATTTTATTGTTTTAGTCCATTTCTAGTGAGATATGTGTTTAACAATACACAGTGAGTTTCTCTGAAGAGGCACTATTATATTTATGAAATTTAGATTACACGGGTTTTGAATCAAAAGGAAAAGTTGACTACATTTTGGCATAAATGGATTTTTGATTCTAAGTGCTGAAATTACATATGAAAATAACAGTCCTTAAAATGCCTACTATTTTTGTATTTAGTTTTAAGGAGTGGCTACAGAAAGTAAATGGCACTTGTAGGTTTTACTGCAACATATAGTCAATTTAATACTTTTTACAAAGAGTCTGGGTTAACTGCAAAGTCAGGACTTGCTTCAACTCATGGGACTATGCACATGGACAGTTACTGCTCATGCACTTGGAATTAGGTAGACCCTCAAAGATTTGCTTCAGTGCTGCTCTTCAGTTCTATAGCTTCTGAGAGCGGCTTATTATAGTTCAGAAGTTGATAGGTAAAATATTACCATCAACTATCAGTTTAAAGCACTTCCTGCACTTTTTGAATCCCCTCTTTTTGATTCCCTGCTGTGTCACAAGTCATTATGTTTCTTCTCCCAAAGAGCTTATTCTCCATTTGGCCTTGACCCTTATTCAGGTCCTGAAAGCCCAGTAAGACTTTTTCTTGGATCTCAAAAAGACATCTGAAAATGCTGTATGAAAATTTCTTATAAAATTGACAATAGACAATGCGCAAGGAAACCTAATGATTCTGACCCCTAACAGGGAAACTGTTTAGGATAAACTAGACTACCTTTGTAATTATAAAAAGGACCTGCATTTTCCATCACTGCAGGGATCATTTTTACATTGTTAGACGTATTTTGGGATAAAAAAAAAAAGACTCTTTTTTTACCTAAAATGGTTTATGCCAAGAGGGAAGGCCCTTGCTACAACTCCACATAGGAATTCAGATCCCAGGAGAAAGGATATGAAAGCTCTGAGGTCTTGTATTTTCTAGTTCTTCCCATGGAGAACTTCTTAGGATGATTCTCATTAGTGGATTTTTTGTCAGTATTAGGAAAAGAGTTGCCTCCTGGAGGAGCTTCTTCTCACTTGGCATTATATTCTATTGTGCCTCGTTGTGCGGGTGGGGAGAAGAGATGTCTGAAGGGCTTTGCAGCTGAGAAGGTCTGTGAAAAAAGTACAACACTGGAGGGTTTCTTGTTAAGGAGTTTTTTTTTTCTTTACTAATACTTACATTACTCTGCGAACTTTAATTCCTTCCTGCTGTGTTATTTGCAGCCTGGTCAGTGTTACTTCGCAATAAACAAGTTCAAATCATAGTTGCATAGTTTCATAGTTGTTAGGGGCTGGAAGGGACATAAAATATTCTGATCAAGCATTGATCATTTGAGTTAGGAAACACAGTATATGTAAATCCATGCATATGTCTCTGCTGTCCCTGGTATTTTTTTTAATGGAATGCACGGTAGAATCTGTGAAGGAATCTTTAAAGAATCCGTTTTGGGGGGGAAAATGATAAAATGATAATGAATATATTGGAGAGGCATTTGGGAAACTTCCCATGCTATAATCCTTTAAATAATTTACAATATTTTTTTCTCTAAAATACTAATGAAATTATTTTAGGAGTTTATGGGGTTCTGTTATGTTAATAATACCTGAGTACCTCCTCACAGTCTTTTCTAGATTTACCCTCATCAGTCCTACATGCTACAGCTAGTGAACTGATGCACAGAACAGCTAAATGATTTGTCCTAAATTAAACAGGAAGTCTGTGGCAAAGAAGGAAGTGAACCTGTGTTCCCCTAGTCACAGTAATATCTTTCCTTCTGTTCCAGCAAGTCCATCTGCTTCAGTAACTTGATTTCCACATATTTTCTATGGAACTTCCATGTGATACAGTTGGTTATAACCTTTGTGCTGTGTACACAATATGCACTCAACTGTACCGTTCATATCACATGACCGATTTCTTGCACCAACAGAGTTATTTTTTAGGCTATTTGTGCTCACGTTTCACTGAACAGAGCTATAGTAGTTAAGACATGCTATCTAACATCAAGAAAGATGGAAGTTAGTGATCTTGTCCTGTTTCTTGGATATTGTAGTGCAGTTTGCAGAGCACAGTGATAGGCAATGGAACCTGTATAACCTTTTGATATGTATTGCATTGGAAGCAGGTGTTCATTTGTAGAACTAAAGCATAGGAAATGCTTCCCATAATAAAAGGAGAGTAGGGAACTTTTTTCTAAAATGCAAATAAAGTGCTTCAGATAGTTAAAAGATTAATGTAAATTTAAAAACATATTTATTATGTTTGATGTTAAAGTTTTATTTGACTGGAAGAATTTTTCAGTGTCCCTCTGTCAGAACTAAGAATTATTATTGCAGTAGATTTCCTGTCTCAAATTACTCTCTGTCTAATAAAGCTTTGGCTCTGATTTAATATCTTGTGTTCCTGTATCCATGCAAAGTCCCAATGCAGTGGACTCTAAATATTCTGCCTCCTTTAAGCAAGAAATGGCTAAATTAGCTTCTATAAAATGTTTAGTGGGTGTGCAACACAATATTCCAGTCTTCCAGTGTAAATCTTTATTAGTTGAGCTGCCAGAATTGTTTTCTAAGCTATCTTGATCTTTAGCACCGATTGTGAAATGGAACAGAAATTATTTATTACTCCTCAGGAACTTTAACACAGAATAATATGTATTCAGCCAGAAACACAGTCAGTCTTGTTCTTATACAGGCTATTATTGCTTTGTGATAGAAAAATAAAGTAACTTTTTTTGTAATAGTTAGCAAACAGTTATAGGAGCCTTCTGACTGTGGCATATATACATCAGATGACAAATGCAGATGTTTATAACTGACTCATAAAGTACTCTCACACAGTAGCATAACTAGGGCAGGATTACTGGGGCAGCTGCCCTAGGCGTCAACTTAACCTGGAGGGGGGGGGGGGGAGAAGAAAAACATCAGCTGCTGCTGCAGCCATATGATTGAGGTAGCAGCACAGCAGCAGCTGGAGGTCATGGCTGCCTGGGCACCTGGCTATTTTGTTACCCCTCTGCTCTCAAATGAAATTTGAAATATAAGATAGGACAGTATCATCCTATTCTGTGCAAAAGGAAGTATTTGGCATTTTTTAATTGGTGAAATTGATTCAAATTGGTTTTAATCCTGCAGGATCTGAGTGCTCTGACTTTAATGTAGCAAAGCATATCAAACACCGAAGTTTTAAAAATTATCTCACTGATGTCAGTGGGGTTACAAAGATGTTCAAACTTTGGCATCCACCTAAGTGTTTTGCTGGAATGGAAGAAGATTATTCTGGACCTTGTAGAATCAAAGTAGTACCGTGTAGGTGCATCTACACATGCAATTAATGCAAAGAAATGAACTCTGGAGCAGTCTGAGCCAGAGTAAAGTACTCCTGGGTGCAGCATCTACACATGTGCCCAGGACCAGCAGCAATTTGAGCTGGGGTGGAGCGGGCCCAGGCTGGCAGAGGGCACAGGGATAGAGGAGAGGTCAGCCCCAGGTTCTGGGTGGTGATGGCAGGTAGTGGAGGAGCTGGCTGGGGCATAAGGGTGCTAAAAGTGTGGAGCTGTGTGACTAGGCAGCAAGCAGGAGCCTGGCCCTTGGCGGGCTGAGCTGACCAGGCTTAATTTACACCCACCACAAGTGTCTCCATGTGTATTTAATCACAGTAAATTACAATGGCATAAAATAGTACTGTCCCCAGCAGTACTATTTTATTGCAGCAGTAATTAGTTTACTGCAGCCTAATACTGTTGCATGTGTAGATTGTGATGCTTTACTCCACTGCTAATTGGTTTACTTGACAGCAAAGCATATGTGTCCACACAGCCTGTATGGAGTAGCCTAGCTCCAAGACTGTTAAAATTGGCAGAACTCTGTTCATTTTAATTCACCAGCTTGCACAGACTCAGGATGTGATCCACTGTTTGCAGATATTTGTCTATATTCTGATAGCAATTGGTTGGAAATATTCCTACAATTCCCTTTAAAAAAATGTAGGGGTTTATGGGAGAGATAAGGCTTTATGCGGGGTTAGGGACAGAAATTACATATAAGCTGGTATAAGTGAATGGAAACCAAATCACATTTGTAACACAATAGAAGTTCAGCACACTTAAAACCTTTTAAAATGGCTGAAACTGGTTTAAGATAAACCTGGTTGGATGTAGTATCAGACTTAACTGGTTTAAGTCAAATTGGGTTATTGAACTTCTGTCCCAAACCCATCAAATTCAAGTTAGCTCATAGTCCCCCAGCATCCCAGGATGCTTTGCACCTGCCCCATAAACTCCCCCCCCATCCCTTGCAGAATGGGTGGGCTAGCCTTGGCCCAAGCTGTCTGCTACAGCCAAGCAGGGAGGTGTACTCCAGCACCCTCCAGCTTCTGGCCTGGGCTACTGTAGTCATGTGGCTGCATTTCCAGAATCAAAAGTGAATGTTTGTTCACTTGCTTATTGCATCAATCTATGCAGCTTAGACTAGCCTACAAAGACTAAATCAATTCAGCTTCAGGCTTTATGACTCTCTGTATTTAGCCTGGGTGATATGTTTTATTGGACCAACTGCATAGTTGGGATATGTTTAGACTTCTTTCAAATGTAAGACATTCCTCATATTTCATCAGGTTTTCTAGGGAAATTTTCAAAGCAAGAATTATCTAGCTTCCACTTCAAATGTAAAACAAGATTTTCAGTAAACAGAGGGGGAACAAGCATTGGCTTTGATTTTGTTCTTAAACTGAGAATTGAAAAAACAATGATGAGACCATTTCATAGCCCATGAAAGAGAAACAATTTTGATGTAGCTCGGGTGTACATGGGTATGTACTCCCCTTTCCAGTTGAAAGGGATTGTTAACTGGCAGGTGTGCTGTGGATGAAACTGAAGACTACTCACAGTTTCCCTCTGTCCCAAAGGAGCCAGGCCAGGAATCTGGAACTGAACTATATACAAATGTATTGATGTACATATACACAGGGTGTAGGGAAGGTGATATTAACACACACTCACACACACACATATAGACACAATATACGGTCCTTATATGATGCTATGTTCCAAGGATTGCACCACTGCTAAAGGCACTGGGCCCTGCACAGGTAAGCAGCTGATCTGGGCCAGGTAAGCCACAGGAGAGTACAGGTGAGCAATAGATAAGTACAGGAGGAGGAGAGGAAGCTACTGCTGACACATGGGACCAGCTCTGGGTGTGGGCTGCTGCTGCTGCAGGTGCCCAGTTCTGCACTTGGGATGACATGAGGCTGCCGCTGCTGTCTGGAACCAGCGGCAGCAGCAATTTTCCCAGCGCTGGGCCTGGGCTGTGCCCAGCAGTGGTCCCAGGTGGCAGCAGCAGCCTCCTCATCCATTGCACAGATCTGGGGGGGCCTGCACCCCCAGAAGTAGTCTGGCACAGCCCCTCAGCCCTCCTGGGGGTATGGGCCCCCAGATCTGTGTGCAGGATGGCAGGAAGCTGCTGCTGGCAAGTGCCACAAGTTTTGCTTGAACAATTTGAGGAACAGTTTCCCAGAAACCTCTACACCTATCTCCTTGAAACTTGGAAGGCTTCATGCCCCCAGAAGGCACTACCATCCCTGCAATTTTCATCCTAATCAGGCAAGAAATGACAAAGTTTTAGGCATTTTAATGATTTTTCATTATAGCCTATGTGCGAAACGTCGAAACACGTCAAAACAATGAAACAGTTTTGATGAAACAAAACGGAACAGTGCTTCAAAATAAAATGAAACAAAATGATGAAATGAAACACTGCCCTTTGAAATGGCAAAATGGAAGTTGAAACAAAATGGTGCTGTTTCGCAAAGCCCTAGAAGTTACCTACAGAAGATGCCAGTAACAGATATAAGGGTCTCTGGTTGTCTGCTTAACTCTTCAGTAACTGAATGCTTGGAGTTGAGCCATTCTGAGGCAACAATAGATATCTGAACAAGAAATAGCCTTGGAGATCAGAGAGTTGTTTTCCCAGTATTCATAAAACTGTATTTGCTTTAAAAGATGGGATGTGGCAAACAAACAGTCAATAATAATAATGCTCATAGAAACTTAATTACTGGTGGTATTTAAAAAAGATCCAAATCAATCAGAAGTGTATTTTAGCAAATTTTACTGATTATGCCTCTGGTCATACAGGGTTTTGTTTGCATTGATTTAATCCAAGGTTGGGAATGGTTCCAGAAAAAGCTGTTTCGGTCTGGTTGATGTTTTGCATAATATATTGCATGTTTTGAAAGTTTGGATACATTGAAATTTATTTGCTTATGGATTAGAATTGCCCACAAGTAACTTGTCCGAAACAAAAAGGCGGATAAAAGGAAAGGAATGTGCAAAAGTGTACATTATGATGTAAACATGCCCTCTCCCCAGCACTCAAAATAAGCAATATTAATCCAGTTACGACCAACGGAAAAAACCTGGAAATACGTTAATTTTTGTCTCTGGAGCACAATCCTGTGTGCTCCAGAGACTGGGAGCACTGGTCTACTCATTGGGGCTCCCAACTGGAGGAGCAAAGTGAGCTCCTCTAGCTGGGAGCCACGATCTGCTGACAGTACTCCCAGCTGCAGGAGTGCATGGTGCACTCCCACAACTAGATCACCGCTAGGGCTCCCAGCTCCAGTGGCAGGCCATGGGCTCCCATGGCTGAAACTCCAGGCAGTGATCAGAGCTTCCACCCACAGGGGCACAAAATGTGCTGGGAACGCTATCAGCTGATGGAGTGCCCAGCCATGGGAAAGAAGATTATTGATGCAAGGGAAGGCTGGAATCCTCATCCTGGGCTCCCCCTGCACCAGCTCGCCTCTGGCCTGATGGGATCTGATGCTCAATCCCACAATCATATGTCACATGGTAGGAGGCATGATTGTTGGGATTACTCATCAGATCCCATCACTCTTTCTTTTTAAGGTCTTTTAGTGGCCCAAGTGGTGCTGTTGTATATCTCTTTCCTGATTTCATTTTGTAGCCATTCAATGTACAGGATTCTATACATTTTAATGCTGAGCAACAGTATTTGGGACTTCGAATTTTGAAGAGAATTCCAGTCTTAAATTTATGGCATGGTTATACTCTGAAAAATCATGGTAATTATTACATTGTCATATGTGTTTGCATTCAGTCTCAATTTTGTGGGCCACAGTAAGTTTTTGCCCTTTTTTTTGTAATTCCTACTAAGCTGTGCAGCACCCACAGTAAGAGAATAAGGTGAATTCTAATCTGCCTCTAGTATAAAGCACAGAATTATTAGAGTATATCAATTGAAAAACAACACTTCCCCAATATGATAACTGTAACTGAAAGTTTAGAGGTATTTTTTTCTATCTGATCAATGTGCATAATCAACATCTTCAAAAGGAGACTGAATGCACACCTTGCTGGGGTTATCTGACCCCAGAAGTCTTTCCTGCCCAGAGCAGGGGGAGTGGACCTGAAGACCTCATGAGGTCCCTTCTAGCCCTAAACTTCTGTAAATCTGTGCACATACACTTTGTATCTAATCAGCTCCACTGCTTAGTCTGTAGTCCTGCCAGTCACATGCGCTAAAACGGTGACATCACTCTTCTATACTGCACTACGAGACTCAGATAGACTCTCACGTATCTCATCAGAGAAAGAATGTTTTCCAGTAACAGTAATAGGAAAAGTAAAGCTAGAAAGGTAGTCAGGCAGGCTTATGTGTACGAAGTATTGAGAAAAAAAGGTGGGCCTGATTTGGGTGTGGTGTGGTGTGGTGTGGTGTGGTGTGGTGCTTTCTGGGTCCTTGAAAGGCCTTTTTGAAAGAGTGCTCCATCAGAAACTTTTAAAAAAAAGAGAAAGAAAGAAAAAGAGAGAAGTTCAGTGTTCTGTTAAGTTTTATTTGTGGAATCATTATTGCTGAGTGATGCATGGGCCAAAAAGAAAGTATCTTGACTTTCAGAATCTCAGTTTAATTTGAATCAGGAATAAAAGCTCTTTTTTTGATTATTGAAAGAATGAATTTCATTGGGAACCACTGAAAGATGCATACATAGACTCCTGCCAGTTCCCTTTGATGCCAATGCTACTGTAGTTTTTTTCCAAATAGACTGTACTTTACATTTCCAATTTTTTGAAGTTTTTCACATTTATGTGATCCTTAACATGCATGTACATCACCTTAAAGAGAGGAGGAAAACAATTTATCCTTTCTGTTCCACCTTCACAGACTTGGATGTATTTCTGGAAATGCATCTAAGCCAAATGTGTTCTTGGCCTCTAAGTAAGAAGAATTATATGAAATTTTATGGCTTGTGTTGTACCACATAGACCAGAGGGCCAAATGATATGTTGGTCCTTTTCCTATCCTTGAATCTATGGATGTGTCCCAGTGGACATGGGATGTGTCCCAAATCAAAATGTAGTGCCAATAACTTGTGTACCAGAAACAGTGGGGATGCATTAGTGAAATAGTCCACTTCCCTGTATGGTACAATGAAGCAATGCTGCTAACTAGCATTGTTTATTGTCATACAGACAAACCCAATGAATCAATTAGCCCAAATGTTAGTCGAAATTCTAGTCCACAAATTCATGTAGACATCACTGAGACTTAGTATGGCCCTTAGGTTTGACTGATGAATAGCTCTGTATTATTTTTAAATCACTGCTTCTCACTTGCTCTCCAGTAAGTAGCCCTAGATCATCTGTTTTGGTCATGGACATTAGTTGTAGGTAGAGAGATGGTTAGCATTGTTAGGCTGAAGTCAGGTAGAAGGTAGGGCAGGGTGGCAACTTCCAGAACCACTGGTTCAGAGAGGCTTACTCCGTCAAATGTTGTGCATTTGACTTACTAAGTTGCTGTCTGTAAGAGCTCATGCCTCTTTGAGTTACTTGGTATTTAAGGTGCCACCCTGTCCTACCTTTTGCCTATTAGTAGCCACCTGTCTTCTACTTTTGCTACTCCTACTTCTGTTAACATAGAGATTAACATAAGGGTATTGTCCCTGTATATCAGTCTTGTTTTCCTTTTTGTTTCTGTATGTCCACATATTCAAAGTTCTGATCATTAGTTTCCCTTTGTTCTTTGCAGTGTGTGCTGGTACTGAGAACAAGCTGAGTTCTCTCTCGGATCTGGAGCAGCAGTACCGAGCATTGCGCAAGTATTATGAAAACTGCGAGGTAGTTATGGGCAACCTGGAAATCACCAGCATTGAACACAACCGAGACCTGTCCTTCCTAAGGGTAAGCAGCCTCTTTCCCCTTCCCCCCAGCTCCCATCTTCTGCATATTTGTGAGCAAGCTTTGCTATTAGACTGTACAATGGCAGGCTAATTTGTTTCTAAATGGTGTCTCCATTCCATTGACTGTCAGAGATTTTTTAGCAGAAGGTAAGACACAGAAAGGTCACAAAATTACAAGCAACCTGCACAACAATACTGTCGGGACTGCTGCTCTGAGTATGCGATACTAACATTTTCCTAGGGTATCCAATAAAAGATACTGTCAGTGCACAGTATGTAACGTCTAGCATATCTGTGTTGCTCTGTATTGCCAGCAGGTATAAAGCTATTAGCATGGGATTTAGGAAGGTCATAAGACTATGCAGATAAGCACTTGTGGTTTTAACAAGCTAATCCTAATAAAATGCAATGCAGAAACAGTTAATAGAGTAAACAATTTGAGAGCTCTGGGCAATACTTGTATAACATTTAGAACAAAAAATGACTTACTGAAATGAACAGTAAAAACCTATCCATTAATAGGTGTGGAGTTATGATCCATAGAAGCCCACGTTGGGTCTCCTGCTGCTAGAAGAGGCCTGTAGGGCTGTCCTGCCATAATATATTTTGGGTCATGTGCTCCTTCAGTGATTTTTGTCTTACAGAACTTAAGCTTCCATTTAAAAATATTTGCAGTTTTCTTGGTTGTAAAGAAAGCCTTCTGCATGTAAATTAGTGGAGTAGCATCACTCTGCATTTGCAGATAGCCCATCCCAGTAGCAGCCGAAAGAGATGAGACAAATTCAAGCTAAACAGGGACAGGCTAAACATCAATAGTGCTTATTGTTTTAAAAGCTAACTGCTTATAAGAAACATCCAGCTAATGGGATCATCCAGTGTAGCCAGATATTCTGCTAATTTGAAAGTAACTGCTGCAGGAGAAGATCTGCAATGTGAAGAAAAGAGGTGTGCAGCACTAAGAATGTCCATCGGGGGAAGGGACAGCAAATGTTTGTAACAGTTGTAGCCTGACTTTATAATAGTGGGCCATAGGAGTTCACTATGGATGACACTAAACCAGGATGCAAATAAGATATGGTCAGCTGCTTTTGAATACGTGCAACTCTGAAAATATGCCCTGTTTATTTCTAAATTTGGGGGTCTGCAGTTAACATCTCTAAGTGAAGAGGAGGTCGCATCTTAATCTGGGGGAAGAATGAGATGGCAGATGCTCAGCTCAAATACTTCTGTTTGGAAGAATGATCAAATTGAGATCATGGTAGACAAAATTCTTGCATTAGAGTTGCAGTTGGTTTGCATAAACATAAAGCTGGTTTGATTCTTACTGTCTCATGTGACCGTTTGGTTCAACTTTGGCTCACAAAGGTTTGACTTTTCATCATTGGTTTTAATAAACCTGAAGCAGAATGTTCCTTGGCTTATATTGCAAGTCATGCCTAATTTGAGGTTAAAACCATTATAGCTTCCTATGAGGTACATACAGCCATTTAGATTGACCTAACCCTAGTAAGATCAGTATAAATGTCCAATCATTCATGGGGTCAGAGGGCTTAAATTCCCCAAAATGGTGCATCTGATCTAAGTTAGATCACCATGGACATGTCTACATATGTATTTAGGCACACCTAAATTTAATGAGCGTTAGCTTAATGCACATTAATGCAATTTAGGCCCGCATCTACACATGCATGTATTAAAGCTCGTTAACATTGTGTGTGCAGACTGACATGGACCTAAAGTTAGTCCCAAGTTAGTCCATATGCAGTGTTAATGAGCCTTAATGCATCTACATGTGCGTTAATGTGCTTTAGCTATTCGTGCCTAAATCTGATATCTGCTTTTACAGGTATCAAATTTAGGTGTGAATAGCCTAAAATTGCCATTTTTAAGTGCATTAACGGTGCACATATATAGATGCACACCCTTGATGTGCCTTAAATTAGGCTAACATGCCCTGAATTGTCATGCGTAGATGCTCCCCGTTAAGAGGTGTGCTAATTTAGATTGAGGTTGGGTTAACCCAGCCTAGGAAAGAGTTAATTCAATTTTGCCAACTCCTACACACATTTGTAACCCAGCCTCAAGGCAGGGAAAGCCCAGCTACTCACCCCAGTACTAGGCTTGTGCTAATCCCACCTCTCCCAACCCCGAGCTATTTTTTAGCTCCCTAACCTCCCCTATGGACACACCAATTCCCCTTGTTCTGCAGGCCTTCCACCCCTGATCCTGCTAAACCTCATAGAGACTTGCCAGCCTCCCCTGATCCCATTGTCCCCTCCCGCCCACTCTGAGTTACTTGTGTTTCCCCATGCAATTCCTGAAAGTGGTGAATGTCCCATGTGCACCACTCCACTTTTCTTTTTCCATGTTTTTTTTGACCCCTGCATATTTAGGGGTCAAAAAATCCCCTGTGCTGCTCCCTTGCAGCATGGAGAACAGCTGACTATGAGGTATGTGATGCCACAGACATATCTGTGGTGCCACATACCACATAACCATGCTCATCTGGATGCAGTCATGGTTTCTACTTTAAGCCATTTAGACCAGGCTTGGTAAAAGGGTTTGCAAGGTTAATTCAAGCTGTCAAGTTTTGTACTAGAATAGGGTGAGTATCGATGGACTAAAATTCACAATCACAATAGATAACCAGCTATCACCTAACAGGATCACAGGGCCAAAAATGGAATTCTAACAAAAATTCTCAGTGAGCAGATCCCAAATTATAGGTATGCACCGAAACCCCAAAAGACATGGGTATTGTTTGGCTCATGGTTTTGTTACTTAAGATTTTCACAGTTTTAAATTCTTTCCCTTTTTGCTGTGCCTACTGGCAGAGTGGGCAGAGGGAGAGTCAGGATAACTTGTGAAGTACCTTGGTCAGCATTGCTTGTGACTAAAATTGTCCCCTGGACCCCAACCAAACAGTGCCATTGTGGTTTACAAACAAACTTGAAATTAAAATGAAACTTAACCTACATTTTTTTTCTTTGCATGTATTCTAAACACTTTTTGTTACATAGAGACATCCACTATTTCGGATGAAGGGAGTAATCTTGTAATGAAGCCTCAAGGAAAAAGTTGTATAGAACCGTAACAGAAGAATAGCAGTAAATTGAGCAAATTAAAAAGAGGAATGACAGTTACAGGTGTTAAATCAGGGTAGTTCAGTAGTGCCCACATTGTGGCTTTTACCACTAATACTTATTTTATTTTTTTACCTGGGTTTGCCCTCTCAGAGATGCCTCAGGAAAAAAAAGGCAACAAGCCGGAAGCTCTAGTTAATATGATACATTATAGTAATTAAAATAGAAAGCAAAACAGAGGAATGCAAGTTCTTGGTGAAACAAATACATAAATTGTGTAATATTTATGTTAATAATTTGACATCCATTAGTTAGATGTTATTGTTTATTTTATCATTTTTAAAACACTTTTAATGACCTAACAAAAGTGGCAGATGGGATATAACCAAGAGCATGGCTACTTGTCACTTTTAGCCTTTAAAATTGTGAAATCTATAGTACAAGTGACGCAGAGCCTGCCCCATTTCTCTTGTCTCTGTCCCTGCCGTAATAATTGCCTTCTTTCTACACCAAATGAGCTTCAAGTAGCCAATAGACAGACTACTGGTTTATTTATGTGTCTGGCTGATGAGCACCTTGGCTTTGTGAGCCTTTCTTCCTTCTCATTAGTACTGACCCTAGCTCAAAAACCTTTCACTCCAGTAAATAGGCTAGACCTATTGAACTAGGCATACTGTACCTTTTATCATGCAGTTGCAGATGGATACCAAAATGAATATGAGCAAAAAAAGTTATAATGTAATTTAGTATTTACCCTGTAGAGGAAAATTTTAAGAACAAGAATCAAGCTTTCATATTTTTCATCCATTTAACACCTAGGCAGATTGGTTTTCAAGTGCAGACGGTATCTTTGTGGATGTCTGAGTATTAGAAAATAATTAGGATGCCTTTTGGCCCTAACTACCTTTATGTAGTCTTTCAGGCCTTAAATCAGGAGGTCTATATGCATGTGTATAACTTCAAGTACATAAATAATCTGATTGATTTCACAGGGTCACTTGCACATAAGTGACACACCTGCTTAAGTACCTTTTTACGTCAAGGCCTTCTAACTGTGCAAAGTGGGTATAAGACACTGCCATTGTGGTTAACAAACCACATATAATTTTCTTATTGATGGATAGAACTATTCACTGCTTTAAGTACCATACAATCTTATGGGAACATATCTTTCCTGAACAAATTCTGTTATCTTTACATGCACCAAGTAGTGCCTTCTACTGTGAGTAGTGCCCTTCTAATGGCACTCCTTGCAAAAGACCATGTTATTCATTATGAATAAAAATGAAAAAAGTTGGTTGTATGAAAATTGTCTGAGCCTAGGCACCTGGAAACTCCTAAAATTTCAGGCTTCCCTAATAGAAGAGTTACATTCTACCCATACTTTTCATTCTTCTAAGACTTCATCTATGGACTACAAGTGTGCACTAGTATAATTCAGTCAATTTAGTTACACCAGTGCAAGCCCCTAAAAAAAATATTTACAACAGTGAAAAGTGAGGCTTATATTAATTTAATATGATTATTCAGGTGAAGTGATTTGCCCAGGGTCTCAGAAAATCAGTGGCAAAGCTGGGAATAAAAACTAATTTCCTCGTTCCTGATACTGTTCCCAGTCTACTAAGTTGGTATAAGCATCACTGTCTGCTAGTGCAACAAAGTTCCATTAGTGTTTGCCTCATTGTAACTTCATGAAGCTAGTTATTCTTGTGAATATGATGCGTATCATTAAGGTCAGAACTGTGAATTAGTACCTTTATAGGTTTTCTAACTAACTGTTCAAACAGGATTAAATAATATACAGTTAAATTGTGAATGGCTCTTTCCTTTGGAAAACAGGAACCTGTTTTACTTTCATTTAGCAAAAGTGACAAGTTATAATTTAGACAGTCCTTATTTTTCTTAGGTGAATATCAGT